CTTAAACCGCATAAACACATTGCATTACACCAAATACACAACATTATGTTCTTTTTAGCAATGTCTTATGATCCCTTTAAACGAGTGAACCAAAATAGCTGCGGCAGCTCAGAACGCCATGCGTGTGTGTGTGCGCGTCCCCGTGATGAATTTCCGGACGATGACCCTCCCTCTTCTCTATTGCCTTCCAAATTAGTCGCATAGACGTTATCGCAGATTAAATGTTGGGAGAGAGAAAAAGAGAGTTTTGATCTCAAATGTTTGCTGGGTTTTTCTCTTCAGCACCGCGGACAGCGACCAGTCACAGTTGCACTGCCACGTTTTTGATTATTGGCAACGCGATTCAAGTGCTCATAGCCAATTTCCATTATCTTTTAGATGTATTTTTTCTCTCTCTTCCCCCTTATTACACTGCTTAAAATGCAGAACTGTATTGATATTCTCTGCCTTCTATACGCTTTTCTGCAATTCAGCTCAAATGCACTCACAGAATGTACATTCTATTCGAAATTTGTTTTTCGTTTGTAGCCTACTAGAAATTAAGATTGGTTTGAAAATTGAACTTTGAAAATCCACTCATTCAAAATAATTGTAATATTTGCATACTGATTTTAGATTGGTCTTCTTTCTTATTTTTCTTATCTATTTGACACTTCCCAAGAATACTGTGAACTTTGGTGTAGCATGGGGGGTAAAATAAATACAATAAATAAATAAAACAAATAAATGCACAAATCTGATGTTTCTTTTTGTAAGATCATTTAGTTGTTATAAATAAAGTATTTTATAACATAAAAAACTATTTTATTAACAACACTGAATATAAAAAACATATATCAATAATTAAACAAACAAATAAATAAAATAAAAAATTGTAGTGTATTCAAGTTTAACCATTTAAACTCTTACCCTTATATATATATATATATATATATATATATATATACAAAAAAATTAATATAAAATAAATATTTAGTCCCAAACAAGTGACAGATTAATTTAGGCCACATTCAAACGCTATTACTTTGAACTATTCTGGATTATTAATAGGGTTGAAACACATGCAATTCATATATAAAATAAATAGGAAATAAAATGCTTCATAATAAAAATTGTACAACCTTCTGAGGCTGACAAGCAAACTTTTTACTCACCATCAAAATGGCTGTGAAGCAGCATTTCAATTACACAGCAAAGCTTGCAAGGCAGCAAAAGAAAAGTTCTATTTCCTTTAGGAAAAGCAAATCTACTTTAGGAATGTCACGGGCAACCCACACTCGCCTTCACACAAAACCACACCACGCTAAACTTAATTCATTTCCAAAGCTAACAGGATTCCCTCATTTGAGCATTCTGTACCGTGACCACGCACTATGTTTGAAACAGATTGAACCAGAATAGAAGTGTTCAGCACCATCGTAGTCAATTTAGTGACTTGTGCTCAGAGCATTTCCCTGCCTCGGGCTGTTAGAGAAATGGCGCCAAAATATGACAGGCGCTGGTGTCACCATGGTTACCAGTCACGTATATTTCAGTCCCGTAAGCTAAACCTGACAGCATTGATGTGCGTATTTGCACGCTACTCGAGAGACTGTGCACCCCTACAGTTCATCGCCTTAGCATGATAAAATTCACACCTCAGTCGAAACTTAGAAATTCTAACTTTACCACCGGGATAACGCTCTCAATCTGCAATGGACCTTTGAGCTCTGCATCATCCGGTTTAAGTGCCAGACCACAGCTGAATAGACCCCTATACATTTACAGAAAATGAAAAGGAACATCTTAATTCAAACTCTTTTCGCTGGAGGTCAAACCACAGAGACACGTTCATTAGAAATGATCCTTATCATTGGAGACTGGACTAGGAGGATATCAAAAGGGCTGTTTCAGCATGCATGGGAGTTGGATATGACTTTAACTGACTGACTGATCAGTGTATTTGAAATTCTGCAGGGTTGACATGAAGCATTTCACCATTTATTATGTTCAACTTCTCTCTCAGGCCAAACATTATTTTGCTGGTCATGTTCGGCCTTCAGGAATGTCGCAGTAAGTAAAAAATAATGATTGAAAGTCTTGATTTGGGTCTAAAGGCAGGTATATAAAAAGTACCAGTCATGACCATTTGGACACCTGACTGAATATGTTTCTTCATTTTACAAGATAAATAAAGATTTTAACATTATTTACTCATCTTCACTGATTCTCTGCTGTGGAACACAAAATATATATTTTTAAATGTCTGTTTCTTTTTTTTTTCTTTTTGTTAACACCTAAGAAAGAGCATGCTACAGAATGACATGAGGGTGAGTAAATGATGATAATTTTCATTTTTGTGTGAATGGTCCCTTTAAACTATCCACTTACGTAAATGCAGGATATTTGCTAAAAATTAACTCACTCTAAGGCCATTCAAGATGTAGATTGTTTCTTCACCAGAACAGATTTGGAGAAATTTAGCATTACATCACGTGCTCACCAATGAATAATTTGCAGTGAATGGGTGCCGTCAAAATAAGAGTCCCATCAGCTGATAAAAAAAAATCACAATAATCCACAATATGACTACAGTGCATCAATTAACATCTTGTGAAGTAAAAAGTTGTGTGTTTGTAAGAAACTAATTCAACGCATTTTCTTTTACTTCAAACCATTGCTTCCAGGTAAAACATGAGTCCTCTATCAATAATGTTGCTTTCTTCATTGAAAAAGTAATCTTGTCTGAATCAGGAGCGAAATATGCACAGATCAAGTACCATTTAGCAATATTATGGATTGTGGACTGGTATTTTGCCCAGAAGGGACAGTTCAACTAACTTTTTTTCATTTGTGTAATACCTACTGTATATGTGTGGTGAAGGTGAGTGATCTGAAGCACTCATTATCTCTGCAGTACTCTATACAACGCTGAACAATATAGCACTTGCTTCACTGCCTTGGCCATTACTCATACATATAAAAAGTATAGGAGCAATATACACCGCTCACTTGTAAAAGTAGATTAAATATGTGCTAAAACTCCCACGAGTCACTCATTCTGCATCAAAGCGAAAGCAATCATGTATAACCATTTTTAACACACATAAAATTACGCAAAATAACATCCATAAATCTTAATCCAGAAAGAGAGACAGAGAGAGAGAGAAATAAAAAATGAAACGTTCCTGAGGAAAATTATCCTTACTAAAGAAGAGAGAGAAGAAAAAACAACAACTCTGGCTTCTGTCTGGTTTTCCCATCAAGCTTCACGCAAACACAAGCCAAGCTGTGAGTGACACAATATCATGAAAGTCGCTGGTGTTTTTCAACCCCTCTGACAGGATCCATGGTAACGGTATAACCATAATAATATCATTTTTCATACCTGACAATGGCGCTCAGAGTGAGCAGCCACACCGGTCGTTCATCACCCCGCGTGGACTGGACCGAGGGCCTTCTGCTGCAGCCACAAGGCTGTCGCAAACTCCAAACAAGCTTGAGATTCACACAAACAACTCGTGATGCATTCCAGAAGCTCCCTGCATGATTAAAACAGTGTTTATGAATATTAATGCAGAATCAGTATGAAATATTCATATTATCAGTATCTGTCAGACATGGCAGTTCGTGTTTACGCGCTAATAAGTGAG